ATAAAGGGAAATTGTTACGTGAATAATAAATATTTTATAAATTAAAGATCTTTTAAATGTACCGTCGATTTATATCTTGAAATAAATCGTTTACGAAATTCTTAGATAAATACTTTAATAGTTTTCATTTGATTTTTATCTTGAAATTGTAAGGTCTTTTGAGAATTGGAAAAAAAATCTATTGAAAGCGACCTTCTAAAGGTGAACAGAGAACACTTAGCTTAAGCTGAGATTAATCTCTTTCAAGTGAGAAACGTAATATAAAATATAGTGGCGAAAACACCAAGCTTTGTAATTGCTAAATATCTATAAAAGAGCCTTTTACTTTTCGATTTTCTTTTAAGTTTACGCTATATAAAAAAATGTTATCATTTTTCATCGAAAGAAACAAGAATTATAACCTTAAGTAATATGTATGTGTATATTATACGACTACAAAAACACTATTGAATAAAAAACCAAAAAATCGAATGTTCTTGTACAGGATGATTCAAGTGAAGAATACGAGTTCGTAAAATCGAACAGCTTGGAAGACGGAACGCATCCACAGTTAGAAAATTGGACGGAAGTCGTTGCTATGACTACAGTCCACAGAATACTTTGTATATGAAGTTTTTTTTGTTTATCTGTGGCATATTTAGTGCTACTGTCACTCTTGATCATGCTGACATCTATAGTGAACCAAAGGAAGTTTTTCTTCTTATGGACATACAATCAAAACGTATGTATGGTTTCGTCATCTGGATGAAATTACATATCAAAAGTCATTTTATATATTGAGCTTTAAATGTAAATTATTGGTGCAAGCATGTCTGCGTTTGACCGCGACTGTTAATTAAGTTTGTCTCGCCCTGCTCTGTCCATTCGTAACCTAGTTTTAGAGAATTTTGAATTATATTTTTAATTAGAGAAATATAATTATGCGGATCGTGTTCTCTTCCGTTTGCATAATTATTACTTGAAATAAACTATACATAATTTTAATTCTTACTAATATTATAAATAAAAATGTTTAAATGGATGGATGGATGCTTGAAGGTACCTCCAGAACTGGTAAACGTATCTCGATAATATTTGGCATACACATAGAACATTGTCTGGAAAAACACGTAGGCTACTAATAATTTTTTTTCTGCGCGGACGGAGTCGTAGGCTTTAGTTAGTAATAAACATAATTTTAAAATGGCGTCTAATTAGTAGCTGACGTATTCTATACTTAGTATTAGTAACATTTAATGACATATGAACAGGATTTTGTAATCAAATACTTACGAAGTAAAAACGCGGGTGTAAACATCTCATTTGGAGCTTTTGTACGAAAGACTACATCAAGATTTTCGGGATATCAAATCGGATCCCTTGTGTGTGGACAAAGCGGGTTGATTGCGGTGCGGTTTGTGTCACGCCTTACGTTATAACCAAATTGTATTAAAACATAATGTAAATGATATCATTTCATCCATTGAAGACATAATGTGTAAAATTTTATATTTCCCGTGCTGTATTAAAAAAAACAACATAATAAGTAGCCTATGTGTTCTTCCAGACTATGTTCTATATGTGTGTCAAATTTCATTGAGATCCGTACAATCGTTTTGGAGATACCATCAAATAAATATCTACCTGTCTAAACATTCTCGTTTATAATATTAGTAAGAAATTTATATTTTATATATTTATTTACAGGGTTTAAGAAAGATATATAAGTGTAAGTTGCCATTATAGCATAAATTTTAGAGTACAGCTGCGCTATTTGTCTTTGCTTATCGGATTTTACGTCAACCTCCAAATGCACCTGATTCCTCAATGTTACAGAAAATAGATAAATTCTAAATGCATTTTATTGAAGATTTATTTGCATTCAGATATTTATTTTTTATTTGATTGTTGACGTTTTAATTCCAGCATTTCTTTTTATGTCATTTTCTATAAAAACATAATTACTTTAAATTCAAGAAAAACTTAAGTAAATAATTATATATTATTTATTATTAAATATTGCTTCATTAGTATTATATTACATTTTAATTTAAATGCAATCAAAAATTATACTCAAAGATGACGAAGTCGCGTGAAACAGTTAGTCTAAATATAAAAATTATTCGAATAGCGTCAACACTTCACAATTATTGAAGCTGTTTAAAATGCACATAATTTTAACAAAACGGATATACATACATACAAATATATCTAGATAAATAGGATTTTTTCCACATTCAGACAACAGGCGAGTCTTCAGGCGAGTCACTTTAATCTCATTAACTTAATAGTATACGTGATCTTATTCCATTGTTAATCACTAAATGTATCCGATTTTAATGGCCAGTAAATGTCAACTCTCTAAATCAAGTCAATCGCTTGATTCATTATCGTTAATGGATATGTTATCATTAAATGGAAAAGTTCCTAAAAATATCATTATTGTTTAATAAAAGTAAGATTTTAATAAAAATAAACATTTAAACTTTAGGATATTTGTCTTCCTTTTTATCAGTTTCCATTGTCAAAACATCAGTATAATATACTGTTATGTGTTCCATTGAAAAAGAGCGTCGGTGGCTCAGGGGTTAAGAACTTGACCTGCAATCTGCAGGTCCTGGGTTCGAATCCCGCCATGTACCAATGTGTTTTTAATTCTTACGGTGAAGGAAAAACATCGTGATGCAATCTGCACATATCTGAGAAGAAATTCAAAGATAAATATGTGTGAAGTCAACCAACCCGCACTTGGCCAGCGTGGTTGACTATGGCCTAATCACCCTTAACTTAGGGTAGGCTCCGAGCCCCTCGGTGGAGACGTATAATGAGCTGATGATGATGTGTTCTATTCTCTAGAATAAATAGTACAGGAGAGCGAGGGAGATCGACCTTATATATCTGATATCCAGATGAGATATACTTTTTTATTAAACTTGCCTATCGGCTTTTATCGGCTATTTTAATTGAATAAATTTCAAACAATTTGCTGTCATTGCCTCACTCTTTTAATTCCTGAATGAATTTCATTTCAATAAATAGTATTTAACACACGACAGAGAATATGCATATATTAATTTAATTAAAAATAGCCTAAAACACTTTTTGATAGGCGAGTTACAATCAAAATATTTGTTAAAATGTTTAGTTATATAAATTAGTTAGCAGATGTTTCAAGATTCGCCTCCCGCTGGCTCTTCGACAGAAGATAGAAGAGAAGACAATTCATTTTAATACAAGCGTTTGGATACTTGATATTCACAGCGAGACTTAAATGCCTTTTGTTTATTATAAATAGCAGACTTAGTACTTTTATAGGTTTATAGATAAAAGAATCATTTTTAAAGCGTAACAGCGTGAAATGTTTGCACGTTAAATAGGGCCACGCTGTGGCATAGCGAGATAACGCGGTCAACTGCATTAAAGATTCGCTCACCCTGCCAAAACCTAATTACCGCAACCCACATGCTAATAAAACTGACGATTCGTACAAAATTTACATTAATATTTTGCCTACTTAATAAAAGTTTTAGTAATAATTTCACCTAAAAATATTGTGGTGCTAATTTGTGATTGACAATTAAACTACGATTAAGATTTATATTCAGATTGAGTTTAAAATTGACACCGAGTTTGAAATTGTGATTATGGTAATAAGTTTTGTCGTAGAATATTTTGTGTATAGGTGAAAAGGCATTGTATAAATATAAAATCGATCGACGGACTCTCTATTATTTATTTCCCCAATCATTTCGGCCATTAGATATAAAATGTTTGCATTTTATTGTTGTCAATTAACTGATTTAACAATAACGTGAATTAGCAATTTATTTCACTACTAGTTGTCGCCCGCGACACCATCCCCGCGGTATTAAAAAACTTAATTAGTAGCCTTTATGTACCAGGTTATATTCCACATCTATGCCAAATTACAGCAAGAACAATTCAGCCGTTCCGCAGATACCTTCAAACATCAATCCATCCAAACATTTGCATGTATAATATAAATCAGATTAGTAAGATTAGTATTGCGATGTTTGAGCGACAAATCATAAAGTAAAAGAAGAATACAATGAACACAAATTACAAATCCGAATTTGTCGTAGTTTGTTTGCAGAATTGAACACATTGTTTAAGATGCAATCCTAATACAATATCATATGGATACTATTTACATTGCAAATCTCAAAGTAGATTTGCAATCTACTAAGAAACGTAGCAACGGAAAAATCCAATTAATACCTACCACGAGACTACAGTTAAGAGGTAATTACGTTGTGGAAATTGAAAACCACGACTTAATAAAATAAATACATCAGAATTTCATCATCATCTCCCTTATCCCAGTCATGTAGAGTCGGTGCATTCGGTTTACGTCCACTATATCCATCTTTCTTCCGTCGTCTCAGTCATTTCCTTTTTGATCGTGTCACTATTTACGCAATCCATCCGTCTCTTCCTAGGCCTAATTCTGCCAGTGTTCCCCGCCATACTCATTTTCAATAATTTTTTTATAAGAAAAGAAACGTCGTTATTTAAAATGATTATCTGAAGAAAATAATTATACAGGCTGCTACAAAAATAGATACGAATAATTACTTGGTTCCGTATTATGAAATGTCTACAAATACATTGCCGAAACATCATCACAAAACATGTTACCTTTGTTCATTTCTAAGGTAATGAGAGTATTGAAAACATGTTTTTATATATGTGTATCAACAGTTTCAAATGATTGTTCACACCAAAATATGTAATTATCTAAATCGTTTTGTTCAGTTTGATTTTAGATTTAAGACTAAAAGAATTTGGGAATTATTAGAAGGAAAAAAAAGAATGTATAAGTTTTCATCAACTTAAATGAATTTATTTCTTAACTAGAAAATGGTATATAAACTTATTACAGGCAAGAATAACTTATTTAAACAATACTATAAGAATCGTTTGGTCGTGACTCAGTACAAGGAAGTCGTTTAATTTAATATGTGTTTTTAGTAATAAAATATTTTAAATTTATTATTTATCAGAGAAAATAAAGAAAGAAACGATGTTGTCTAAATTTTTTACTAAAAATGTAACTAGAAATGCTTTCTGGTGAGTATATTTTTCAAGTGAATAATGTTATTATTTATTGCATTTTATACAAATTCACGTAAATATTACTGTTATTCTTAAGATGGGTTTACACTTACGAAATAATCTGCATTAAACAATTAACAACTGACGCTCATAGAGTACCGAACTAATTTTGTATGAGGTATAATATTGTACTTAAATGACAGTTGTCATAGTGTAGAACTGTCACGCTCAACGATTAACTGTGAACTGTCGAGTATCGATCTTATTATAAAATTAAATGATGAAATGGGTACTATAATTTAGGTATTATATTTTATAACTTTTTGAATTTATTGCAGTTATTTGGTTATTTAATTAAGAAGAAATCAAATACATTTCTTTTTTGATTATCAACACCATAATTATCTGTTTAATGTATTATTTCTTTATGGTGTTATGAAAGATAAAACGGGAATAGAATGAGACAATTTTATTTTTATTGTAATTGAAAAACTATAATCACGAAGTTTTCGATTGCAAGTTCTATAAGAACAACAATCGAAAATCGAAAAAATTCTTAATCGATTTTACTCAACCCGTATCTAGTGAAATGTCAAATGAATTGTCAAACTAATCTATCTTAAATAAACACACTATAGTTATCGCTTTTATATCGAAGTAAATGAAAGGGATGACACGATGTTAGCTCGTAAGATTATTCGTTAGAATATATGAATGTTAATCATGTTTCTTTTTTATTTATTTTAATCTATTTATTTATTATGCAGGACGAATAAGCTAAATTTCCAATCGCCGAAGATAAAAAATGCAATTGAATCGTTCCCAAATTATTTACCAAGAATTGTAGAAACAACTTTGATTGAAAAAAAATATGCCGACATTAAGTTATTAAAGGAACGTGTTATAAATGTAAGTTAATAAATAATAAAACTAAGTAGAAACAGGTACTACAAATAAGTTTATAAATACATAATTTTAATTAATTTGTTACGTCATTTGCTTGTGTAGTAAAAATGACAAGAAAACACGTAATCAAAGAAAATACCAACCCCGTAATTGTAAACACAATTTTTTTTTAATTTTCATATAATTTATTATAGTTGGTAATTTTATTTGTGATATTATAGATAGCAGAGCATGAAACTCTGGCCAGAGAGCCTATACAAGGTAACCTAACTATATTTGCTTTCGACGCACTGACAGATTCAACAGATTTAAATGAAAAGAAGTTACATCAAATACAAGTTTTAGCTTGGGGTGTAGAGTTAGTAAGTAAATCTCTAAAGTTAAGAATAATTAGCCATCCTTTATTAAACAGCTAGGTGTCGCGACTCCATCTACAGAATTAAAAAAAAAAAACCTAATTAGTATGTGTTCTTACAGACTGTGTTCTTAATCTATGCCAAATTTCAGCAAGATCCGTGCAACCGTTCTGGAGATAGATCTTCAAAAAAATCATCCATCCGTCCATCCATCTAAGTCTCCGTAATTATTTTTATTAAAAGTTAAAATAAAAATTTTAATTCATTGACGTTATTTTTTAATTTAATTACAAAACATTAAAATAAAATAAATCATAAATAATTAATTACAGCTACAAACCTACTACAATATTGGTGACGACATAGAAGACAACGCTAAGACCCGGTCAGGCAAACTTTGCTGGCACCAGTTGCCCGGCGTAGGGCTCATGGCAATCAACGACGCAGATCTAATACGTAGCTTTATTTACGAAATGGTAAAGAACAATATAGAGGAGCCAATTTCATATACAGTGCAAAATTATTTTAATGAGGTAGACACTATTTTTTATTATTTAAATACAATTAATTTATTATAGTTGGTAGTTAATTTTAGTTAAAGAATTAGTTTAGCTGCACAGAGGGGGAACGCTGCCAGTATCTTCGGGACCTGCCTAAAGGGACTCCTTTTAATAACATATTTTAGTGAATTATTCGTTTTTTTTAACATTTTATTTTATATCATAGATTTAAGACTATATGTAATTATAGAAATAAGCATGTATAATAAATTGATATTGTTCAATAATATATGCACGTCGATTGGTATAATTGTGTAGACTTTGTTATTAAATACTATTGCTTTTGAATTAAATAATAGTGAAAGCAATAAGAGAATTAATATCTTTATATATATAATTCTTCTGTGAGTGTGTATGTCACTGAACTTCTCTCAAACGACTGGACCGATTTTGATGAAATTTTTTGTGTGTGTTCAAGGGGATCTGGGAACGGTTTAGATTCACAATTTTGTCAGCTGGACAATGTTTTTTTAATTAATTTTTAATTTATTAGTAGTTGTTGATTTTGGAATGTTTTACATTGGATCCGACAGACGGCGCTACCATCGCAGTGTGAAATTTTAAATAATATTCGAATTTTAGCTTATTAAAAAAAAATTGAAATTTTCAAATTAAAGACGTGTCAGGACAACGTCTGTCGGGTCCGCTAGTATTTTATATATTTCAAGACGCCTTGATTTCTTCTGCCACTTCCATTTTTACTTCTTTATTGTGTAATTATGTGGATAAAGAAGAGAAGAGAAGAGAAGAGAAGAGAAGAGAAGAGAAGAGAAGAGAAGAGAAGAG